CAGTTAATAAGTCTGCACCCAGCTTCCACATGGGGGAATATTCCAGGCCCAGGACACTTATGGGGCAATTCTGGAGAGGGCAGGAGGTCTTGTGATGGCTGCTGCTTCCTCCAACAGTTTCTAACATATTAAGCATGAAATAAATACTAAAGACTAGGGAACATTTTATCTTATAGAACCCTTAAAGGGATTGAGAATTTCTATGTGGTTCAGTAGAAAAGAATCTAAGAACAATGTAAAGTTAAAAAAAAAAAAAAGTGGCCGGGCGCGGTGGCTCAAGCCTGTAATCCCAGCACTTTGGGAGGCCGAGGCGGGTGGATCACGAGGTCAAGAGATCGAGACCATCCTGGTCAGCATGGTGAAACCCCGTCTCTACTAAAAATACAAAAAAATTAGCTGGGCATGGTGGCGCGTGCCTGTAGTCCCAGCTACTCAGGAGGCTGAGGCAGGAGAATTGCCTGAACCCAGGAGGCGGAGGTTGCGGTGAGCCGAGATCGCGCCATTGCACTCCAGCCTGGGTAACATGAGTGAAACTCCGTCTCAAAAAAAAAAAAAAAAAAGTGATGTAAACTTATCAGTTTGGCCTGCTGCTTAAAACTATGGTGAGCATAAAGGTAAAAAGGTGAAGAGTGAAAAGACTGAAACAAATTATGTATAATATCCAATTACACATTTCTTGTAATTTGAAATTCTGATAAAGGATAACTAGCTATATTACTGATCTATCAGTGCCATAACAAATTGCCTAGTAATTTAGTGGTTTAAAACAACGCTCATATATTAGCTCATTGCTCTGTAAGTCAGAAGTCTGACCCAGTCTGGCTAGATTCTCTACTTAGGTCTCATAAGGCTGAAATCATTGTGTGGGCCAGAGTTGTGGTTCACATATGGGGCTCAGCATCTTCTATGCTTACTAGTTGTCGACATAATTTATCTCCTTTGCATGCTTTCCATGTAGCCTCTTCATCTGCAAGCCAGTAATAACACGTTGAGTCTTTCTTATGCCTCAGATCTCTCTGATATCCCCTTCTGTTGCATTTCTTTTGATCTCATATTCTGCTTTTATTGGCTCATGAGATTGAATTGGGCCCACTTGGATAATAAAAAATAATCTCTCTGTTTTAAAATCAACTGAATGGTAATTTACACCTTCAAAGTCCTTTGTGTCATGTGGTCATAGCATAACCATGGGAGTAACACAAGGGACTATGGTCAAGGGGCTAAAAATTCTATCTACCACACTGGATAAGTCAAGGGGCTGGCAAATACATCATGACAGTAATGGAAGGGAGGCAGTATAATGTAATGTTTAATAGTCATGAGCCTTGGAGGTTTAAGTCCTGACTATGTCATTTCTTAAATGTTCTTTTCTGTTAGCTTTGTTTTCCTTACATAAAAAATAAGGATAGTAATGGTAACTAACTCATAGTATTTATTGCTGAAAGGACTAAATCACAAATATATTTAACCATCTGCCATATACTTTATTCCCATATTTGTTAGTTATTATGATAACTTTTATTTTCTATATATTTTATTTTATTTTTATTTTTATCAAAATAATACGTGCAGGTTGTAAAATGATACATAATAAAGATCAGTTTGAAAAGGAAAATCACTTTATACTTCTATTCTCACTTGTCAAAGGAAACTGTCTTGAATCAATTCTGGTTATAGGTTTTTTGAGAATTACCTCTCTACTCTCCATGTATTTTCGTAATTATTCCTTGACACAATCTGTTGAAACCATGCTATGAAAAATAGACTTAGATCAATAGAATCAATATCACTATTCCCATCTCTTTTCTTCTTTCCAATTCTTGGTAGTTTTAAATTATTTGTATTTCTTCTATTGGTTACTGATGTAATTCTTAATAAATATTTGCTTCTTGTTCTTCAAACTTTAGATAGTTCTCTTAATGTCTCGCAATATAAGACAGGATATTAGAGCCCTAATCTTCTCTCTAGTGCTTCTCTCATTTTTCTGTCAGCTCTAATTTACTCGGCATTGTTAATATTGATGTTCATATTGACATCATTTACATTTTGATCTGTAGTCTTAGTTAGATATTTATAACAATCTTTATGATACCACAGATTTATAATTATTGTTCAACTGTGGCTGAAGGAGGCCAATATAGAGCTTGAGCTATGGCTTCAGAAGGTGCAAACCTCAAGCCTTGGCAGCTTCCACATGGTGTTGAGTGCGCCAGTACACAGAAGTCAAGAATTGGGTTTGGGAACCTCTGCCTAGACTTCAGAAGATGTATGGAACCACCTGGATGCCAAGTTTGCTGTAAGTGGTGCTCTCATGGAGAACCTCTGCTAGGGCAATGAAGAAGGGAAATTTGGGGTTGGAGCACCCACACAGAGTCTCTACTGGGACACTGCCTAGTGAAGCTGTAAGAAGAGGGCCACCATCCTCCAGACCCCAGAATGGTAGATCCACTGACAGCTTGCACCACATGCCTGGAAAAGCCACAGACACTCAATGGCAGTCCATGAAGGCAACTGGTATTGAGGTTGTACCCTGCAAAGCTACAGGGGGTGGAGCTGCCCAAGACTATGGGAACTTACCTCTTACATCAGTATGACCTAGACGTGAGACATGGAGTCAAAGGAGATCATCTTGGGATGTTAAAATTTGACTGCTCTGCTGGGTTTTGGACTATCACAGGGACTGTAGCCCCTTGCTCTGGCCAATTTCTCTCACTTTGAATGGCTGTATTTACCCAATGCTTGTACCTACCATTGTATCTTGGAAGTAACTAACGTGCTTTTGATTTTATAAGCTCCTTAGTGAAAGGGACTTGCCTTGTTTCAGATGAGACTTCGGACTGTGGACTTTGAATTAATGCTGAAATGAGTTGAGACTATGGGGGACAGTTGGGAGAGCATGATTGGTTTTGAAATATGAGGACATGAAATTTGGGAAGGGTCATGAGAGGAATGATATAGTTTGGTGGTGTCTCCAAATCTCATCTTGAATTCCCATGTGTTGTGGGAGGTACCTGTTGAGAGGTCACTGAAGCATGGGAGCAGGTCTTTTCTATGCTTTTCTCATGATAATGAATAAGTCTCATGAGATCTGATCATTTTAAAAAGAGGAGTTCTCCTGCATAAGCTCTCTGTTGGCCTGCTGCCATCCATGTAAGATGTGACTTGCTCTTCTTTGCCTTCTGCCATGATTGTGCATCCACTTTCCTCCAACCACTTTCCTTCATAAATTTCCAACTTTCTGTTATGCCTTTATGAGCTGCATGAAAGCAGACTAATACAGGTAAGTAATGTAATAGGATTCTATTTCCTTCTTTATTGGTCCAATATCACAATCTTTATGCCACTCAGAGGAGTATATTATTTCTTTTTTAAATGAGTACAGTTCATTCCACATAATGTGAAGTATTATTCTGAAATGATACATAATGTAGAAATACAGTAAAGACCATTGACAAACTTAATACTTTAATTATAGGACCACAAATGTTTATTTTCTAAACAGCTATGCTATGAAGCAAAACTCACGTAGCACTCTGAAAAGATAAAATCCAATATACTCTTAAAAATAAGGCTTAAACTTGGATAACTGTGGTCAAAATTATACTTATTCTTTACCATTTGAATTTAGAAATCATGGTTGCGGTTTGCCATTTTGATTAAATGAACAAGTGGCATCACTTACATAAACTACTTTTTTAAAAGTCAATTTCTTTCAATTCCATTTTTGTTCATTCTTTGGTTTCATGTGAATGTTCTTTTTCTTACATTTCTTTTTGTTCAAGCTAAAAGCACATTATGAAATAGAATATCAACTCTTAATTTATGTAATGAATTGAGCAATGAATTATTTAGTACAGTGAAAATTACTTTGTAATGTCACGATGATATACACAATCTTATGTACATGCATGTCAGAGAAAAAACAATAGCCGTGAACTACTAAATTCCAGGGCTATTGGCTATATTTGCCATAAACTCCAGAAAATAAGAAAAGCCCAAACATGTTTGTTCTCTGGAAACACAACATTTTCCACCAAATAAAAAAATAATCTGATTATGGTGAGTTCTGTTTGTTTCTTCTAAGGGGCACAGTGAGTCAAAATATGTTAAGAGAAGATCACACTCAAAATTGATATAATGTAAAGATGTGAATAACAGACACCGGGATTCCAAAAAGGGAGAAGGTGACAGGGGGTTACGGGTTTAAAAATTACCTATTGGGTTCAATGTTTACTATTCATGTGATGAGAACACTGGAAGCTCAATCTTCATCATTACACAATAAACCCATGTAACTATCATGCACATATACCCGCTTCATTTAAAAAAATTACGTTATCAAAAGATGTATTCCCACTTAATCTCATTCATTTATATGAATGAAAATAAACATAAAATTGAAATAGAAAATACACATGAACCCTGGCTTATAAATATTAACTTTCTTAATGCTGAGCAAAAAGTCAAATTTCAAAAATGTTTTCGTTATAGCCAGTTCTGTGGTGTTTATATGGAATATAAGATCAGCTATTTGTTAGTAGGTAGGAAAATGGCAAACTCTTCAATAATAAATTCACTTATTGTATATTTTACTTGCATCAAATGATTTTATATATAACAGTTCAGAGTCAGCAAAATCATTTCTCTCTATTGAATATATTATTAGTTTCCAAAACCAGATCAACCAACCAGCCAGCCATATCACAAAGGGGTGTTAGACTCCATTCTAGTAATTATTTTATTTCCTTATGTTTTGTACATTTTGTACAGAAACAAAATCAAGTAATGACTTTTGAGAAAAAATTATACTAAAAACTAAAGTCTTGAATATATTTAATGATTTCAACTGATGAATTCGCAGCTTGAGAAAGGAGATTACATCATGATTATGTGGAGAATAGACATCATTCTATTTTTTATTTCAAATTATGATCATGTAAATTAATTATAAAAAGTAGAAGGTCTTCAGTTAGTTCTGAAAATGGTGCTATAGCAATCACAAATTTCCTAAAAAACGTCTATCTTTATTAAATTTTCAGGTTAAGGTTCAAATGCCAATCTTAATGATGCCATCCAAATCCCTGCTTGAATAATGCGACTAATGTTGCATAAACACTCCTAAGCCTTATAAAGTAGGCTATATTCACTAATATTTATTTAAACAGATAATTTCTCTTCTTTTTTTCTATTTATTATCTAAAGAGTTAGTATGCCCCACTGCTAAGATGAGATGCTGTTGTATGTTCTAAATCGAGTGATTTCAAGGACAACAACTAGCATTGCCTCAGATGTTTGTAGAGTTTTAAATGTTGCTAATTAATGCTGTGAACAAAAACACAAAACAAAACAAAACGCCCACTGTGAGTGTTTACCATTCATTACCCCAGGACACCAACATCTTTTTCTCAAGTTGTATTCCAGCACAGTGGAGATACTGATTAAAGGGTCCATATGTTAGCAACATGGATACCCTGCTGAGCAACAGAAGAGTAAATTCTACAGGTCAAATGACACATTTTGTGATTGTGAATAACTTCAAATTTCAACGTTTTCTAAACAGTTGAATTAGTGAAGTCATGTACAATTTTTCTTGAAAAGGAGCACAGTCAAGAGTTTTTATTATTTTAAGAATAAATGTGACAAACGAATTAATTTGTACATTGAAGTCATTCTAGCCTTTAAGACTCCAGTAATACATTTCTAATTAAAAACCTCAAGTTAGCACCTCACTAGGCAGATCTCCATCTCCAGCATATGCATCATCACCAAAACAAAATCTAAAAGAGAATACATTTTCATGTTCTAAAAAGTTTACACACTATTTTGGAACCAAACATCATGAAATTAAATGAGATAAATCACTATATCCACAGGAGCAAAGAAGCCACTGCAAACTTAATTTAAGTACTAAGGGAATGTAGAGTATAGAGTAATTACTGAGCTTATCCTCTCAAGGCCCTCTTTCCCAAAGGACCCTGAAATGGTCATTTCTAGTCCTGATTTATCATCCACTTTCTGTTCCTTTATGTTCCATTGCTCAAAGAATCTCATTACTTTTGTTGTCCTTTGATGCCAGAACAAGGCATGTGTAGATAAACTCTTGAATACTACTAGCCCCTGTGTATTTCACTCTCTTGTAATTTTCCTACACTCTGTTCATACCTTTGTTGACAAATTTTTTTATTAAACTCTTCTCGAATTACCCAGTCATGAGTGCCATTCTTTCCTGTTGGTATTCTGACAGATCTATTGTGTGTCTATGTTAGCTACTTATTGCTGCTGTAACAGATCACCGCAAACTCAGTAACTTACAATGACAGAGTTCTAGATATCAGAAGTCTAAAATGAGTCTAACTGAGCTAAAATCAAGGTATTGGAAGGGCTGAGTTTCTTCTGGAGGCCCTTCAAGACAGCACCTGCATTCCTTGGCTCAAGACTCTTCAAAGCACATAATTCCAACCTCCGCTTCATTATCATACCTCTTTTACCTGACCCTGATCCTGCCTCCCTCTTATAAAGATGCTGTGGTTGCATTGGGACCACCCATATAATTTAAGATAATCTCATCTCAAAATCATTAATTTAATCACATCTTCAAGGACCCCTTTAACTTGACATATTCACAGATTCTGGGAATGTCATGGACATATTTGGGGTAGGGGAGATATTCAGTATAACATAATGTCTAATGATTGTTTACTGAATAAATAAATATAACCATCAGAATAACCTTCTCAAATAGCCCTTTACTCCTCCTTATCTTAGCTAATATTTATTGAATGTTAACTGTTTTCAAGACTCTATGCAAATGGAATTATATACACAATATCTTTTAATCCTCAAAACAAGCCCATGTAGCAGATATTAGGAATTTCCCTATTTTATAGCCAAGGAAACTGAGGACAAAAGAATTAAGTTACTATCCCAATGTTGCTCATATAGTAAGCAGCAGTATTGGAATGCAAACCCTGTTTCTTCTGACTGAAATCTCCATCACTGGTCTCAGTTTGTTTCACTGAGGACATGGTGAGCAAGCCTAATTCCTCTTCTACATGACGTATGTCAAAATATTTTAAGGCAAAGTACAGCTGAGAAGTGCCAAGATGACTGACTGGAAGCAGCTAAGGTGTGCTGCTCTCACGGAGAGAAGAAAGAGTGGCAAGTGAACACTAGCTCTTCAACTGGATTGTCCATGTGGGTACATTGGTATTTATCAAGGGAGCAATGAAACCTATGGAGAACAGAGAAGAGGAAGACAGAAAAGCTGTCCACCCAGAATTGGTGCAGAACTAAAGGAGGCTCCCTACTGCTGGGAAATGATGAGTAAGTGACAATCCTTGGGGAGCCACATTTTTGCCATGGACCTTTGCATCTCTGGGTTCAGGATATCCACCATGACCATCCTTCACTGGGGTCTCCAGACTGACACAGAGAGGTATATGGAGTCAGCCACTTCTCAGACACATGCAGAGGCTGGGGGCCTTGAACCCCTGGACACCCTGGCACCAGCTGCAGCAATTCAGGAACTGGGGAAGGAAAGGATCTCTCATATACCCCCAGGACAGAGGCCAAATCTATGGGGCTGAGCAGTGGACAGACCGTAGGTTTCACCTCCACTGTACCTTGCTGGACCAGGCCACTGACCTGGGACCTTAGAGTGATCACCCCAGCCCCACCTGAGCTCTTGGGCTGGTTAGCAGCTCTGCACTTCCCTGGGTTGAAGCTCCTAACGGTATCAAGCAGGCCCACCAGTTTTGCTGCTCCTCAGCTCCCTCCCCTTCTGCCCTCAGGCTCAAGAGGAAGCAAAGTGATTAACAACTAGCAAGAGCATCCAGCACAGCAAAGCTGCCTTACAGAAAAGTGCAGACTGTTTTCCACATGCGACCCTGCCCTTGCTACTTCTCAATGGGCAGGGCCTCCTGACCTGTCACCCTAGCCATCCCACTCCCCAGCCTGGGTTCTCAGACCAGTAGCAACTCTGCACTTCCCCGAAATGGTGTGCCCACCATTGGCAGATGAGCACCATTGGTAGGTCGGCACCATTTTTTTCTGCCTTGTAGACTCCACCCCTGCTGCCTCCAGGCTCAGGAGGGAGCAGAGAGATTAAAGACCTATTTAGACCGCACAAGGCAGTTGCCTTACCAGAAAAGGGCCAGAAAGTTTTCCATGCGAGTCCCTGCCTTGTTACTCTTCACTGGGCCTTTTGTTAAGATCCTCAGCATAATCATCCTGCCCCTGCATAAACACTTCATGCAATGGTAGTTCTGTGTTTCTCTGAAGAGGGCATACCAGAGACAACCCACAACTACTCCCCATTGCAGCTGCAGTGATGCCACCTTTACTGACCTCAGAATGGGGAGAAACAAAAGGCACACCGCAGCCATAATAGAGAGAGAAGCTCAGTCTTTCCTCCCTGTGAGTCCCCACCCCCATTTTTCACCAGGCATGGCCCCAGACTCAGGATGGCAGAGAAGCTGCCCCACTGCTGACTGAGCATTCCCACTGGCAGTGGCTCTGTGTTTCTCTGGGGTGGAGCTCTCAAAGGCAACTAAAAGTTTCTCTGCTACCTACTGCCACTGCAGTGGTTCTACCCTTGATGCTTTTGAACTAGGAAAGGAACAAAGAGTCCAAGGGCGTTATTCATACCTCCAGCATGCCACAGTCACCATGTGGAGGGGAAGCCAGTCTCTCTTCCTTGTAAGCTCCCAACCCTTTGCTCTTTACCAAGCAGGGCCTGCAGCAATGCTGCCCTACCCCCTCGCTGAACATTTCCATTGGCAATAGCTCTGTGTTTTTCTCGTGTGGAGATCCCAAAGGCAAATGAAATCTTTTCTGTCATTACTAATACAGTGGTACAGCCCTGCTCCCCTTGGACTGGGGAAGAAACAAAGATGCTGAGTGCTGCATCCACAACACAGCACCCTGCCCTTATCTGATTGCTCTGATTGGTAACTGCTTTGCCTTTCTATAGGGTAGAGCCCCAGGAAACAAGTGAAAGAAACTCTGCGGTTGCTACTACCAAGGTCCCTGCCCCTGCTGGCCTCAATGTGGGGAGAAAACATAAAGGCTGAAATTGCTCCAAGGCTGCAGAGTGCAGCCTGGGAGTGCCAAGCCAAGATTTGCAGCAAGCACACAAGTCGGATAAGAGCCCACAATCACAGAGCATTGCCAGGGAGCACAGCTGAAAATGCAAGGAAATAAATTCAAGGAAATGAGCCACATGGCTGAGGAAGAGCCTACCTAATGGCCATTACACTTAAGCACCATCTACTGGATCGCAACCCAAACTTCAACACCAAAAAATATTTGCTATTGTAACCCCCTTGAAACAAAGGACAAGAATTCAATTACAGAATTCAGCTAAAGACCCTGCACAAAACATCAGCCCTTTGAAGAAGTCAACTGGCTGTATTTAGGTCCAAGGAAGAACATAGCAAAAAAAAAAAAAAAAAATAGAAGACTACACACCAATATCCCTGATGAGCATAAATGTAAAAATTCTCAATAAAATAAAAGCTAACCAAATCCAACAGTATATCAAAAAGATAATTCACCATGCTCCAGTGAGTTTAATACCGGGGATGCAGGGATGGTTTAACATACATAGTCAATAAATGTGATACACCACATAAACAGAATTAGAAATAAAAACCACATGATTATTTAAATAGATGCAGAAAAAGCATTCGACAAAATCCAATATCACTTTATGATTAAAACCCTCAGCAAAATCATCATAGAAGGGACATACATTAAGGTAATAAGAGCTATCTATGACAAACCAGCAGCAATCATTATATCAAAAGGGAAAAGTTAAAAGCATTCCACCTGAGAACTGAAACAAGTAAAGGATCCCCACTCTCACCACCTCTATTCAACATAGTACTGGAAGTTTTAGTCAGAGCAATCAGACAAGAGAAAAAAATAAAGGGCATCCAAATCATTAAAAAAAATTCCAATTGTCACTGTTAACTGATGATATAATTGTATACCTACAAAACTTTAATAATGTATCCAAAAAGCATCTAGATCTGATAAATGAATTCAGTAATGTGATAAATGAATTCAATAAAGTTTCAGAATATGAAATCAATGTATACACATCAGAAACATTGTCATACATCAACAGTGACCAAGTTGATAATCAAATAAAAAAACAAGCTCCTTTGAGTTCTCAACCCTAATAGCTGCAAAATAAATAAATAAATAAAATACCTAGAAATATACCGAATCAAAGATGTGACAGACTTATACAAGGAAAACTGCTGAAAGAAATCATAGATGACACAAACAAATGGAAACACATCTCATGCTCATGGATGGCTAGAATCAATATTGAGAAAATGATCATATTGCCAAAAGCAATCTACAAATCCTATCAAAATATCATCATTTTTTACATAACCAGAAAAACAATTCTAAAATTCATATGGAACCAAAAAATAGCCCGCATAGCCAAAGCAAGACTAAGCAAAAAGAACAATTTTGGAAGCATCACCTTACTCGACTTCAAACTGTACTATAAGGCCATAATCACCAAAACAGCATGGTACTGGCATAAAAATAGGGACATACACAAATGGAACAGAATAGATAGCCCAAAAATAAACTCAGATTCTTACAGTCCACTGATTTTTCTCAAAGCAAACAAAAATGTAAAGTGGGGAAAGGACACCTTATTCAAGAAATGGTGCTGAAATAATTGGCAAGCTACATGTAGAAGAATGAAACTGGATCCTCATCTCTTACAAAATACAACTCAACATGTATCAAAGACTTAAATCTAAGACCTGAAAACATAAACATTCTAGAATATAACATCAGAAAAACTTTTCTAGATTAATTTAACCAAAGACTTTATGACCAAGAACCAAGACCAAGCTTTGTTGCAAAGGCAACAAAAACAAAGATAAGTAGATGAGACTTAATTAAACCAAAAAGCTTCTTTACAGCAAAAGACAATCAGAAGAGTAAACACATAACCCACAGAGTGAAAGAAAGTCTTTGCAAACTATGCATCCTACAAAGAACTAATGTCCAGAATTTACAAATGAGCAAAGTAATGATAATAATAATAGTAGTAATAGTAATGATAATCCCATCAAATGTGGGCTAAGGACATGAATAGACAATTCTCAAAAGAAGATATACACATTGCCCCAAAAATATGAAAAATGACTCAACATCACTAATTATCAGAGAAATGCAAATTAAAACCACAATGCAATAGCACTTTACTCCTGCAAGAATGGCCATAATTAAAAAATAAAAATAATAACAGATGTTTGCATGGATGTGGTGAAATGGGAATAATTTTACACTGCTGTTGGGACTGTAAACTAGTACAACCACTATTAAAAAACTGTATGGAGATTCCCTGAAGGACTAAAAGTATATCTACCATTTGATTCAATTCCATTCCAGGATGTCCAGCCAGAAAAAAAGAGGTTATTATATAATTATATTAAAAAGACACTTGCATACACATGCATATAACAACATAAGTCGCAATTGCAAAAATGTGGAGCAAGCCCAAATGCCCATCAATCAATGAGTGGATAAAGGAAATGTGATATATATACATACATAGACCCACCATAGAATACTACTCAGCCATAAAAAGGAACAAAATAATGGCATTTGCAGCAACCTGGATGGAGTTGAGGACTATCATTCTAAGTGAAGTAACTCAGGAATGGAAAACCAAACATTTTATGTTCTCATTCATAATTGTAAACTAAGCTAGCTTATAACGCAAAGGAATAAGAATGATACAGAGGACTTTTGGGACTCAGGGAAGGGCACTGAGAAATAAAAGACTACACAGTGGGTACAGTGCACACTGCTTAGGTAATGGGTGCACCAAAGTCTCAGAAGTCACCACAAAAGAATTTACATATGTAACAAAACAACACCTGTTCTGCAAAGAACCTATCAGAAAATAATACAGGAGATGAAAGACAAAAAAATATATATATTTAAGAAAGAACCAAACTTATCTTATAGAGCTGAAAACATACTGGAATAATTTTATAATACAATCTCAAGTATTAACAGCAGAACAGACAAGCTCAAGAAAAACCACAGAGACCAAAGACTGGTTCCAGAACCAACAGTCATAAAAAAAAAATGAAAAAAATGAACAAAATCTCTTAGAAATATGGGATTATGTAAAGTGACCAAAACTAGACTCTTTGGAATCTCTGAATGAGAGGGAGATAAAACAAACAACTTTGGATACATATTTGAGGACATTGTTCGTGAAAATTTTATTAACCTCACTAGAGAGGCAAGATTCAAATTTAATAAATGCAGACAACTTCTGCGAGATGCTATACAAAATGAACATCTCCAAGACACATAGTAATCAGATTTTCCAAGGTCAAAATGAAAGGAAATATATAGAAGGCAGATGGAGAGAAGAGGCGAGCAAACTACAAGGGGAACCCCATCAGGCTAAAACTTTCAGCAGAAATCCTAAAAGACAGAAGGAACTGGGGACCTACATGCAGCATTCTTAAAAAAAAAAAAAAAAAAAAAACTTCAACCAGGAATTTCGTATCTTGCCAAACTAAGCTTGATAAGTGAAGAAGACATAAGATACTTTTCAGACAAGCAAATGCTAAAGGAATTTTTTACCACCAAGCCAACCTTATAAGAGGTCCTTAAGAGACTCCTAAACATGAAAATGAAAGACAATTACTGGCTACCACAAAAACACAATTAAATGCATAGACCATTGACATGATAAGCAACTACAGAATTAAGTCTGCATAATAACTAGCTTATAATACAAAGGCAGGATCAATATTAGCCTTGAATTTAAATGGGCTAACTGCCCCATTTAAAAGGTACAGAGGGGTAAGAAACAAGAACCAACAGTATGCTGTCATAAAGAGACCCACCTCACATGCAATGACACCCATAGGCTCAAAGTAAAGAAACAGAGAAAAATCTACTGCAAAAATGAAAAGAAAAAAAAAAAAAAAAAAAAAAAAAAAAAAAAAAAGAAGGGAAAAAATTAAAATAAAAAAAAAAAAAAAAAAAAACCAAAAAGAAAAAGCAGGGGTTACTATTCTAATTTCAGACAAAAGAAACTCTAAACCAACGACCATCAAAAGAGACAACGAAAGACGTTATATTTTAATAAATGGCTCAATTCAACAAGACTTAACTATCCTAAATATAGGTCCACCCAACACAAGAGCACCCAGATTCACAAAGTTCCAAGTGGCATACAAAGTGACTTAGATAACCATAGCAAAACAGTGGGAGACTTTAACACTCCACCTGACAGTATTAGACAGATCTTTGAGGCCAAACACAAAGATATTCAGGACAAGACTTGACACTTGACCA